GACTGCCTACAATTATTTCATATTGCCCGTTTACTAACAACGCTGAGTGGTAGTTAATTGCTTGTAGACTAACTGAAGAGGTTCAAATGCCTGTAAACCTTAACTACGCAGGAAGCAGACATAGCCGCAGCTTTCCTACCCGTGTTCCACGAAATGGACAACCTAGTGAACTGGTCAACTACTCTGGACGAGTCCAACTGGGTCGTGATGTTGAAGCGTCCTTCGGAGTCTGCCACGGGATCCGGTCTTTTGGCTCCGTTCGACTCGACGGTGTGGATTCTTATCCTCGTCTCCCTCATAGCCATCGGGCCTACTATATACATCATCGTCCTGATCAGGGCGATGCTCTGTAAGGGAGACGAAGTGTTGACGACAATCGTGCCTCTGGACAACTGCGTTTGGTTTGTGTACGGTGCGTTAATGAAGCAGGGGTCCACGCTAATGCCGATGGCTGGTGAGTTTGCATTGCCACGAAACTGTGTGCTTCAAGGTCACGAAAGGACTTTAACCTCCTCCAAGTGTTGTCGCCTGGTTTCTGTTGTCCGTGTTACGTTACAATTATGTGACCTTGAAGCACAATTTTTTTTACTGTTATACTTACTGTCTGTTGACTTTTGACATAGTTTACTTATTTTGTTGTTTTGTCTTATGCGATTTTATTGTTTCAAAACCATATTCGGGCTCATTATGTTCCTGTAATTATAGTAGTGATGTTTTTATGTTACTTATCGTAGATATAAATCCTGCTAAATTATTTACAGGCCGAAAGATGCAGAAGTTACGGTTGTTTACAATTCGGAAATCTCTCGGTCTGCCAGGTACAAACAGTAGGTGTTTGTCCATCCTTAATGTAAATCGAAAATTCATTAGCGTGTTTAAAAGAGACCTTATCTGAGCCGGTTGAATCCAGTCCACACCATCACTCCCTGTGTCCATGAGTCCCTTAACTGGGAGTATTCAGACCACGTGAATATGTACTTTGAGGTGTTCTACCCGCTGCACAGAAATCCGACCCGAGATCAGCTCAACGAGACCCGTCGAATTAATTGTTAGTTTGTTAATAGTTACTACAAGCTCATTTATTTTCTTTACTCTGAAAGATATGAAATTTTTTTAGTTTTTATCTCGTGAGTTGCCTTACGTACTTGTTACTGACTTTAAACCTCTGCTGTTAAATTTAAGTTTTCCTGGTAATACTTGTGCCATATACAAGGTATTTTACGAGAGATATTATAAACAATACATAACTTATAATAATTTGTGCACATTTTAATAATATTTAACCTATATTTTAATACATACTATGGTATTTTGATATTTCTGAATAAGTATTGTTGAAGATAACGAAAATTGGATATTAAATCTGAAAACAGACGTGTCTTTGAGCGTTAAGAGAACATATGAGCTAAAATTTTAACCTATGCCTTCCATTCTGAGTCGTTGTGATGACTACAGTAAAGTACGCATTAAGAAACGCTTTTAAAGGACACAAAAAACGTATTTTAGTCATCCCCAGGCCTTTTACAGAGACAACCATCATTCTATATACAAACATCATGAATAAATTAATAGGACGATGTTCAATTTGTTGGGGAGTCAAAATATTGTTGCCTTTGATAGAAGATACACGAAAAGTCACAAATAGGACTACGCAGGTTTATCGGCAACTGTTTGCTTCTAAAAGAACAAGTTCTGTGCCATGTACCAGGTCACGCTACATTCAACTGTCACATGACATAAGGCAGCGGATGTCGTTCTTCGCTTGTTTCCAGAATCTTCTACTGCAGAAATTTTTTAACTACGGATATTTCTAGCGTGACCAAACCGTGTGTTTCGTCTACGTCACTAGCTTGCAGGTAGAACGAAAACAAACGCATGTACTATGCAAACCAAAAACATTACCGACATAGTCTCTGATATGCTGAATTCAAATCTTGATGGAAACATTTTGCTTTGGAATAGGGAAAACTCGAAATGTAACACTAATAAGTACAACAATTTTTTGGCCCACCTCGGTGGTCTAGTGGTTAGGATACTAGCGTAGCATTCCAAAGGTCCCGCATTCGAGTGTTGTCACTAGCAATAACAAAACGTCATACGAAGACGCTAAGTTAATCCAAGCAAGAAACTGTTTATGTAAAAAAAAGCTCAGAAAGTGTATTCCTTGCCAGAATACACATAATACAGTCTTGTATTCTTTGTAACGATTAATTAGATGTATTAAATCCGTCTTGTTCGATAGTTCCCCACTTTGACCACTAGATCACAGTACATCATTGCCTGATTCACGACTTTACTCATCTGTCATTGGGTTATCACCGCTCGTAGGATATTCAAAAGTACAATTTTGAGGTCGTGCACAGTGGCACGACCTCCGCATCAAATTTAATCGAAATCCGTCCAGTGACTCTCGAGTTGAATCGATTGGACGGACAGATAGACACGTGCAGCCCATAATGTGTTCTCGCTATGCAGGGAACGCATAAAAATTAAAAAAGCGTTGATCCTATTCTTTGATTCATTTATAACAATAGATTTCGCCGTTTGTAATTTGAAATCCCAGACGTACAAAGGCACAAACGGCATAAGGATAAATAACAAATAAACAGACTGAATAATTTTAAGGCAGGACATTGAATTATTACGTGTGTCATACTGTTTTGTGACCCTCAGTGTCGCAAGGTTAAATGTACACTTGTAGCTGACATGAAGTTGAAAATGCGTAATGATTTTGATATCATGTACAGTCTTACCAACATCATCGTGTATTGTTGAGTAGATATAAAAACTTTCTTCCAATAATCCAACAAATTTAATTATTACTACTTTATTGCATTAAATGTTTCGAGGATAAATGTCTTATGAACATATTTTTAAGTTTCCTGTGTCTAATATTATCAGATTAACAATTTTTTCATATTTGTTTGAAAAGGACAAAACAAAAATTGCTGCCGAAATCTTTTCTGGCTCCAGTAAAAATTGTTTTAATGTATTTTTATTATTGTTGTACAGTAGTCGGAGAACGTAAGTGTAGATGGATGGATAATATTAAAATAGATATTACGTAAATGTGGACTGCATTTATTTGGCTGAAGGATTAGAAATTGGTCGCTTGCTTTGCTCCATCGAGTTAGTTGATATTACAATGACGTATTGGAAACCTGACTAAAATATTTGGAGGGGGGAAATTGGAACCTCGAAGATTATCTCGAAATGAAAGTGAACAAGAATTTACTTGGTCAGGAAGCAACTGATTGCCTGTTAATAATAGTAATATAAGTTACAGAAACCACGTATAAATACCATGATAATATTGTTGACACATTCGTATTTCGAATCCGGTTATGTGGGCTCTGTTAGTGGTGAAAAGTGTAGATGTTAAGATACAGTGAACGAGGGGTAACACGCATGGTGCTTGACTATACATGACCAGGACACGCGTCGTGGTTTTGAACTTGGAGTCTGTCGTTCTGCACGCAATACTACATTGTTGCCATTCTGTTTGTTTTAGTCTTTCATGAGACCTGCTGTCATTGTAGTATATCACAATCGATAGTAAAAATGGGTACGCGAGGTCACAGGAAGGAAGGTTCAGTTCGTCTTTTATGGAATCCCGAAAGCTAATTGTCGTATTCAAAAGACACAGCCTGTCCTGAACCAGATGAACCCATGAAGATGTCTGTCCTCTGGGTTGTAACGCCGTGTAGTCTGATAGAAGTTTACAGAAATTTCAGAGGTCCCTAATGCTTCCATCATCAAGACTGAACAAGGACCTCTGAAACGTCGGTAAGCTTCTACCAGACTACACGTCCCAACAACTCAGAGGACAGCCATCTTCAGACACACCGCCGTAAGAACTTAAGAACTTCGTAAAGAAATCTGGCAAGAAAACAAACGGTTTAAATTTTTAAAATTAAAATTAAAATTACCACATTTAACACAACATGTCTGCGGATTGAAAATTGTGTTGTTTAATATGAATCTAGCCAGATTCCAGGTAAGGTAGGAAGTTTGAACAGGAAACCATGATGGCTGGTGAGGCCTGTCGCATGTCTTCGGCGCCGAAACACATTAAAAGAGCTAGGGCATAACGCTGTGCCATTGCCACGTTGTCCACTACAGAACCCACTGTGGCCTTTAGCCGTTGTATTCAGTTCTGGAATAGAACCTTAAATTAAGTTTGAGCTAAAGCCACAGACAAAATTGCATGTTTGGTCTTCATATGAAATACCCGTTATTTTTGTGCGATTTTAATGAAAATTGGAAGATGCTAACAAATTTTTGCGAAACTTGCCAATATAAAATTTAATGAAAATGCGTCGTTTCACTGTTCTTGGGTTCTTACATGCGGACAGACAGACGGACATGGCGAACTAAAATTGTAAACGCACCTCGTATGCGTAAGAGAGGTGTAGCTAATACGAACCAAGATATTCTTCGGTTGCTAGACACTGTGTTTTACAGCAACGTAATCTCAAAAGTAGGCAATGGCCGACGAAAGCTTACGGTCGCTTCTTGATAATTTGGTAAGCCCTGTTCCAGACCAGAAGCAATTCCATGAACCACTCCAATTTATATTTTGTGTCAATGTCGCCGATTCTTCGCATTAGTTGACACATCGGATGGACAATTTATCGACAAACTTTAGTAATAGCTTCGGAACTTCTGAATATCTTTCCTGTCGTGAGTCTTTTGTTTCTAAGCCCTTCTCTTACCTTAAGCGGTAAAAAAATTACCCATTACTCTGTGAAGTCATTTTGATACTTTTATACTTCTTACGATCTATGGGTTGATAATAAATTGCTATGTTAACATTTCTACCAGTCCTTGTGCATTATTTATTAAAAGTGTATAAAATTGACACGCAGAGGGATCCCACACTTACGTGATTCATCTTCGAAGCCACTCGACAAATTTTGATAAAACTTTGTATTGGAGGTAAACACCAAAAGTTGTTTTACATACATTTTCGATACGTATCAGTTCAATCATATCCTCTATAACCTCGCCCTGAAGAAGGGATTTCTAAGAACTTAGCCACCGCAAACGGCGAGAGTGCTGTACGTCTTTCGTATTTGCAATAAATGGGCATAGAGGATAGATAATGCTGTACAAAATATCACATAGAACAAATTTAGAAAATACACGTCCTTTTAAATGCAGTGCGAGAGGAAATATTATTTAAGGTCGAGCAAATTAAGTTAGGCCTTCAGAGAATGTCAATTAAATAACTTTAAACTTGTGAAAAATGAAGTGGAAAAACACTTGGAGTTCTACCTTTTAGCTTTATTGAATTAATCAACCGCTTTCTAGTCAGTGAATTACAATATATTAGTCTAATTACATTAACTTCATGTTTCGGCATTTATGTTACAATCTTCAGGTGAATTTACACAATATTAAACGAATTAGGTTTGTGTAACGTGTAAGTCAGGCTGAAGAAAGATAAGATGGGAAAAGAATTATATGTAAAACTGGATTCTTTCAATATTCCGAAATCGTGTAAGACGGTAAAAATAAGTCTATAAGCAATTGGTATAGGGCAAATATTAGCAAGGATAATGTAACTGATAATGAACATCGAAATTTGTTGTTCAGATTTAACCGCTTAATTTCTGGGTTGTCCTGTTTGTACCCAGACATTTACGAGAATTGGGCCAAAATTTACCTCAATTTTTTATTATATTTTATCCCTAAATGACGAATAAATGTTGCCAGTACATATTTGCTATATGAAATGCAGAATGAAGGTCAATGTTACACGTCTTTATAAAATTTTAAAAGTTTACATAAACACTGCTTCTGTTTTCCTGTACAATGACGTCACGCAAAACAGTCCAATGGAAATCATAAAACTTAGACGAAGTTTTACAAAATTTAAGGATGTTTAAATATTTACGTGGCCACGCCTGTTTCTTTTTCTCATTTGTTATTACTTGTAAAGACGCAGAGGGAAGTGAATTTTCTTTGTTGGCTGATGTGAAAATCGAAAATCTTTTGCAAATATTTACTTTAACATTTTTCTCTCCTGCGCTGTGAATATTTTATGTTGTGTCAGTCGAAACCTCCCGCTTAGTTAACAGACGAATGTGCCGAAGGAGGGGTGAATCCAGGGGTCACCCTGCTTGCTATTTTGTACTTAACGGATCTCCGAGCTATTTGTGAGAAAAGTCATCTCTTAGCATTTAATTAGTAAGAAAATACAAGGCATAAAATACGAAATAAACCAATCCTTGCTGAATTTCAACAAGCCTTTTCCACTACAATAATTCTGATCAACTCGTTTCATTTAAAGTTTCTGATACAAGTCTTCTTACATCACCGTCATGTGTTAGTATATTCATAATATCACTTCACGAAGAGATCCCAGTCGCGCAATTATAAAAATTAAACAAAACCATGGCTGAATGTTGGATATATAATACGAAATGAATGCGGGCCGCAAATAACACTGTCGACATCGAAATCTTGCTACCCCTACGTAATTCACGTGATTAATGGACTGTTAGAAGACAGAAAGGCTAGAACAATAATATTCTATGATAATAACCGTAGTACGAATCAATGAAGTTACACGCATATGGAGGTAAAGTCTGTGCGACAATCGAGGTAATTCCTTAGAAAATGTTCCCTGCGGTGAAGAAATTCGGTTTTTGTGGCGTTCTGTTAAATGAGATACGATAAAGTACTCTACATGATAATATTGGCTTTGTTCATCTTATACATCAATGGCTGAGGAGAAGTGATACGTTGTAAAGCCACAAAATAATTGTCCATTAGTAAATTGAATTCAGTTGTATTAGCATTATGGCGTAGTCGAAACTGAGAAAAATACTAATGTATAAACTATAATAACTGTTTTAAGGACATTAGATGTTATTATGCTTTTGAAAAAATAACGTAGTAGAAATTTGCTTCTCTGTTTATGCCCCGTGTCATAATGACGTCTATGGACGTGACGTAATGATCCTCCCATTGTAAAGCAGGATGCTAGATTGAGGCAAATGGCAAGATTTACTCCCCGGACGGTCTGTACCTCGGTATATGTTATATAAGAGTCTGGGTGGGGCCCACGGTGGCAAAAAGAAAATTCCTGCCCCCTTCTAAGGATCAAATCTGCCATCGTCTAGCACAGACGGTCACTAAACTGACTTTAAATTAACATCTTGTTAGCTGTGACGTAATAGCATATTTCAGATTTCGAGAAAATTAAATTTTAAGTTTTTTAGTATAAATAATGGAAAATAGAGTAATAAGCAAGACGAGAGACGTGACAATTTTTGTCTTTAATATTTTTTCGAGTTATTATTTTTATTGTAACGGTGTTGTAATAAGTTCTATGATGATACAAGGAGAAACTGGTGTTAATTAGGTGACTTCTGCTGCTAAGCTGGTTGTATTTTATGCATTATTTGTTTTTAATATTTTATTTATGTATTTTTGAGTTTCATTCGTAAGTAATACTAAGAAATATCTGTGAACTTATTCATCACATCGAAGACATCATGCCGGAAGGATGTATAAGCAAAATGACTGATTTACAGGATACTATATTATTGCGCTTATTTTTTTGACAAATGTGCATTATTTGTGTTCGTACGACCAAATGTATCTTTCTGTATCTGTGTGTAGAGCATTACGCCCTTCTAGCGTGACATACATCCCAACATTTTATGTTTTTAGACCACATCTGCGATTTTTAAAATATTTTGTTACACCCTTTTTGCATGATACCCTCTACATGATTTAATTACTCATACATCCGGTGGTGATACGAAAGATGTATCATTAAATATGTAAACCGGCAAGAATTTGGCATTGTGCCAGCAGAATTACATAAAAAGGTGACAAAACCTTCCTTTTGATACACTGAGACATGACGA